ATGATAAGACATGTTTTTTTCTTTCTTTATTTCTTTCTTTTTATGGAGCCATCGAGTGCTCGTCCAGTCTGAATTAACAACTGCGGAAAACTAGACTAACTGCGCACCCGCCCTCCCCCCGCCCCAGCCCCGGCTCCCGGCGGTAATATGGCGCCTGCGAGAGAGAGAAGCACTTTTCTCGGTGTTTAGCAGTTGAAATGTGCTCCCCGAAGGTCACACCAGGCGACGCGCCCGTTGGCTGCCGCGCAGGGCCGGGGTGAGGGCTGGGCCGGGCCGGCGGCAGCGCCCGCAGCCCCGACCGCTATCCCGCCGGGGATGCAGAGCGGCTCGGGCAGGTTCCCCACAGCCAAATATGCCCCGGCTAGGCTTTTTCTTCCCCTTTATGTTCTGTGTCTACAAGGGAATAGTACCCCATCTTCCCTCGCTACCTTATTAGAAAAAAAAAAAAATCAAAAACTCCGACCGAAACACCCAACAATCGACCACCTAAACCAAGCCGGTGCTCCGAGGGAGTTATTCCTTGTGTCTGGAAATTAAAAGGTTCAAATTCCTACGTGACCATGTTGAGACACCGGAGCACTGTTCGCAGCTACTTTAAAGCGCCAGTCCCAGTTGGTTTGGAGGTCGGAGCTACTGTTCTTCATTAAGAGAAGTGTAGTTCAGGAGGCAAACTCTGTCCCCGGGGGGTGTGCAGGCTCTCTTGCCGCCGTCTAAGTGCACCTACCAAGGGAAAAGAGAGGCAGGGCTGCTCACCGAGCTGCTTAAATGTTCTCCTCTTTCTGCTGCCGGGGGCTAACCAAGGAGCAAGCTTCTCTAGCTTTCCGAATAAATTTAGAAAGATGATTTTTAAAAATTGCTGTTCCTGGCATTTGCGTCCCACTTGAGAAAAGTGTCTGGGGAAAAAAAAGGATCTCCCAAACTCTTCCCAACATACTTAGTAATGATCTCCTTTTAAATCTTGGGTCTTGCTACCACATTATTCTCCGTGATATTGCATTCCAAAGAAAATAGACTGGGTATTAGAAGACGAATCCCCTCTTCCTAATGAATATTTACCCTGAGGTCATTACATCTGTAATGGCCCTTGCTAACTTACCTTGCTCCCCTCTTTCTCTGCTAGAGACTGGGATTTCAATCACAATGCCCTCGATTTTAAAGTGCCGTGTACCATTTAATGGCGGGGTGCAGGAGAGGTTAGAATATTATTGACTTCATGCAATATATAAGATGGATGCATTTAAGACTTTTAACTTCTTGTTGCAATGACATGCTGTATTTTTATGAGGTACCTATTATGCAGACAGAACCATTGTGCTGTAGCTGCCTCACAGTTGCTGGATCGTTTCTATCAGATGAAAGATTTTGAATAGTTTTCTTTCAACAATGCATCCTTTTGGTCTTGATACAAAGAACGTAGGCATGGTATACACTTAAACAGCTCTGTCACAGAGCAAGATTAAATAGAGTATATATCGAGCCCTGTCTGCAGTATAATATGTACAGGGAACAGAATGGAGCTCCCTCCGCCGCTGAAGGAGCACATTAAGGTCTCATGTCCTGGGAGCATCTTCCAGGTTTCCCTTATCTCTGCTATTTCGTTAAGCTGTTAAAAATCTTTACAGACGGGCTTTAAAATCGGCTGCTTCTCGCAGGGAGACCGAATTTGATGGCAGGGTCTTTTAACAAAACCTACTGCTGGTGCTCCAGTAAAGGGACAAGTTGCGCTCTATCCAGTCCCCCATCTCGGCCCCCGCGCCTGTCCCGGGCAGGCGGCTTTTTCCTGCCCTGTAGCAGCGGCGAAAGAGGGACACCGGTTCAGCACAGCCCCTGGCGTGCGTTTGCCCACCCCCGTCCCCACCCGCGGCGGCAGCCCCGGGCCGGGATGCGGGAAGGCGGCGCCCGCGGCCGCCGGTGCCAGGCGCGGGGGGCTGGGGGTGCAGCCCGGGGAGGCTCCGCGCCCGCCGCGACCCCCCTCCGGTGCTCACTCGAGCGACTTGACCAAAGTGCACGTGCTGAGCCCAACTTCCCTCTGCCCAGCTTTGTGCTCTGCGCTGATTGAGTCCCCATATTAAGCTCGAGATCCTTTCTAAGCAACTGCTAAGAAGTCAAGAGCATCCTTGCTTGCTTTCTCTCCGTGGCCTTTCATGCCCTCAATTTGTTATTCCACTGACACTTTTCTTAAAGTTAGCGCCTAGCATTGAAACATTAGCAACAAAAGCCCTGGAAAATCTCTCCCTCCTCACCACTAAATCCTCTAATGGGTCTGTGCGTGTCGAATTTTTATTTGATTTACAATAATCTCTAGCACTTCAATATTAAACCTACCTCAGCCCAGTACCTCACCTATGGGATATTTTTCAGTGCTGCTTTGGAAAGTACAGACGCTCAGATTTCCTTCCACGTGCACCTACTAATTTATAAATGAGTGTATACAGCTGTCTTCGTGTATATCTGTGTCTCTGTATCTGCAGTAACGCTTTCATTTTGTGTCAAAATAACACATCCTGTCACTCCACGCCAAAAGTATATTTATCGAATGAAATAGCACCGCAAGCTGCATCTTCTTTATCAAACCTTCATTTCTGTTTTACACAATTGTTAAATATCTTTTCATTTCTTTTCCTATTTTAAAATATGTATTACAGTAATTGTTACTTGGAGGTCTTTTGTGTATCTATAGCTCCTTTGATTCATATATTTTCCTTTCTTTTAATCTTGTTATGAGAAATTATATACACATTTCTCAGGAAATCCAAGGGGCATAACTTGATTAAATAAAAACTCCCTAATCCTCGAGGTTTGCGGCAAATACCAATTTTTAAAGTACACGTTCCTAACACACGGGTTGGGGTTTTTTGGGGTTTTTTTTGTTTGTTTTTTTTTTTTTTTTTTTTTTTTTTTTTTTTTTTTTTTTTTTTTTTTTTTTTTTTTTTTTTTTTTTTCTTGAATGAAGATCCCTAAGTCCTCTTCACTTTATTACACGGATTTGGTGAAATGATTCTTCAGGCTCTCTAATTTAAATAAGTTTTAGTGTGAACTAAGAATGAACATTATCCTCTAACCTGAGGTCAAGTGAAGGGTGATTTACATGACAAAGAATAATTCCCATTTTGTCCAATATGAAACAACTTCACCTTCGGCATCATTAAGAAGAGTTTAGCACTTTCAGGGCTTTGGGGGTTGGGTTTTTTTGGTAAATAGTTGGCTATGTATAGCGCAATTTCCCTTTTATAAATCACAATACAAAGGCTGACTTCTTGTGCTCTTGAATTTCGGCATTATTTTTATAGCCTTAAGTAGAGTGAATTTGCACCTGCTGGTATTTAAACTTTAACATATTAGCTGGGGAGGACTTATCAACCCAGAGCACCGCCTCGAAGCAAATTAACAATCTTCATTAAAGGGGGGGGGAGGGGGAGGGGGAGAGGAGATGTGACCATTTAAGATGCTGTCCCGGATCTCTCCGATCTATACAGGTTCCAAGTGGATTATTTGGGGTCTTTATAGCAGCAGAATAACCGCTTTACTCCCCCTCCCCCCGACACATATTCGCTTCCAAATTTCTACTTCTCGCCCGGCACTTTAACCCTCTCGATACCTTCTTACCCTCGGCCTGGAGCAATGCCCTGCAGAGGGAGGTTGCGAAGAGGCAGGGGCAGCTCGACTGCGCTCCCCGTCTCAGCCTCGGCGGCCTCCCGCTCCCACCCCACCTCCCTTTAAGAGCACTTCCCAAAAAAAAACCAAGTCGTGCTCTTGGTGGTTTCTTCTCTCTCTTTTATGGTCACTCTGAGCTGAGCTTGCTCCCTCTCCTCGTCTTCCTCACATTCACATACTCACACGCACACTACAGGAGCCCGTGAGGAAGTGATCTTAATCTAAATATCAAACTTACCGTCCGGAGGATCCTGCCTTGGGGAAGTTCTGCTCTGTTGGGTCTCAAAGTTAGAGAAACCACCGTCATCCCTCATTAAGAGCCCAGGTCTCGGGGAGAGGGGCTGCTGGCGGAGGGCCACGGGCGGGGAGCTGAGCTCCCCAGCTCTGCCCGCCCGGCGGTGCCGGCTCTGTGCCCCGAGGGGACCCAGACCCCGCATGCGGCCCCGGCGCTCTCGGGACGGGGCGCCCCGGGATTCCTCCCGTGGGCACGGGCGTGCGCACCTAGCCGCGGCTCCGAGGGGATCCGCACGCTCCCCGCGGCGGGAGGGGGCCCCGGGGCAGCGCACCCACCGGCTCTGCCCGGCAGCCAGCTTCCTTGCGGGGATGGAGGGGTGGTAGTGTGCTTGTTCACAGCTACACCGGGAAAGTGGGAGCATTTCGTGTTTACAACCGGCTCCGGCTTGTATTGGTGAGATGTAGTTCAAGCAGCGCTCCTGTGTGTCGCGGGCTCTTAACTGGAGCTTTGCTCAGTCATTGAGAGCAATAGAAAGTATATGGAAATCAATATATAGACAGTGTGGAGGGCAGATAATGGATTCGAGTCAGTGAGTGTTATAATCTGCATTATGGGCTTCCTATTGTTTAGACTGAGCACAAATTTCCAAAGGGTGAAGTGTTGGGTTTGGGTCCCCCCCCTTCTTCTTCTTTTTGGAGGGCTTTGTGTGTATAGGGGGAGGGGGAGTGTTAAATCCTCCAGCCACAATTATCAGAGTACACCCACTCCCCCCTTCCCGCCCGCCCCATCTGATTTTAAAGGTAGTGCTTTCACGGCGAAGCTAATGACTTTCATTTAATTGAACATGCCCTGATGTAGCGGATTGTTCTCGCAGCCCTACGCCTTTGTTGCTTTTGGGGGGAAATAAAGCTAATCAAACCTTTTGTCACGGCCAAATTCTCCCTCAGGGTCTCCCAAACATTTGTTTGAATAATTCACCTCAAGAATTGAAAATACTAATTGATTTTAAAATGCCAGCCCGGAGGGACGGGGAGGTGGGGGGTTGGGGTGGGGGGAGCCTGGAAATTAGAGGCGAAGAGCAAACGTCTACCTGCCAGCAGCGAAGCCTCCGCAGTCGCTGCCCCCGCCGGTAGCCGCTGCCGGGCTGAGCCCCCCCGCAGGCTGCGGTGCCCCCGCCGCCGCCGGCCGCACTCTCCGCTCCGTCCCCTCCCTCGGCCTCTTCTCCCCCTCCCCACCGCCAAACTGCGCCTGGTCACCTTGGTCCCGGATCCTCCGCTAAAGTGCCGGCGGTGGCAGGGGTGGGCTCCGCCGGGCGGGGAGGGGATCCCGGTCCGGGCGCCTCGGCCCCATTCAGAGAAGAATTTTGATGCGATTCATTAGAAGTAACGAGTTGACATAAGGTAAATCTACATCGAGGGGGCCTTTCTTTGAGTGCATGGGGAAGCTTCATTAACCATCGCTAACAAGGCGTGCAAATGCTCTGATTGGGCAGCTTTCTTGTAACGCCAAGGCCTTAGCAGGATGCCCACCTAATGAGGGTCACTACAAGAGACTGATAAAATATTCAAATTTTCCGTCGCACCAGGAACTTTGTACTAAAGGAGAAAGTTGAGACAACTGTGTGCTTGTTTACCTTGGGAAGGCACACTCGGGGGAGAAGGCATCTGGCTCTGACATCTCCATCTCCAAGAGAAGCCCCGAGCTGGATGGTCGCTGTTTTATGGACGTTTATTTGCAAAACTCGTCAACAGATTTTCCCCCGCCTTCTCTTCTCCCCCCCATTCTAATTGTGTTTCTCTCGGATTTAATGTACTGATTAATAAATAACCTGTCTGCGAGGTTCCACACTTTTCTTCGCTTTTCTTTCCTTCTTTTTTTTTTTTTTCTTGAAGATTTATTAAAATCAGCCTGATGGCTTTAATGACACGTCAATCATTTCGAAGTTGCTGCTTGTTACTAATATGTCAGACTCTGTACACATCACCGCTACTTTCCTCTCCGCAGCATTTAAAGCCTGTCCCCTCCTCCCCCCGCAATTTGTTTCTTCAAGTTTTCATCGCTAGGTTACGATTTCTAATTAGAGCTAAGTATTTCACTTAATATTTAATTTAGACGCCAAGCACATATATCATACCTAGATCAGTCAATCAAGTGTCCCTTGTTGATAATGCTACATCATTAAGAGTTGTGTTTAATTCGGGAGCAAGAGATTGTACGGCTGCTTCTGCTGCAGAGCAGGTAACTTTCGACTGGCGGGAGCTGCCAGCAGATCCAGAGGGATGGGGGAAAGCAGTCCAGCCCAGCCGGGAGGCAGCTGCGGCTCCCTCACCTTCTCGGGAGAGTTTTCTGCTTCCCAAGCCGTCGTCTCACTGCTGAGGCGAGCTGCATTCCTTTTCTCACTTTTTTTTTTAAAAAAGAGTAATTAAAAATTTGTTGGTATTTCACGTTTCCCTCATCCAGCCTCAGGGTTTATGCAAAATACATCTTGGGAGGGGTCCCCGGAAGTTTAAATTGGAAGCTGAAGCAGTATTTTGGAACACTAGTTAAATACCCCCTCGACTTCTTAAGCCAATCCAAGCAACTAAAAAAAACATCACTTGCCACTTGTTTGTTATCACGACCTGTACAGCACACACCGCATCCACAGAGCTCTCTTACGGGAGCCGGATGGGCCACATCTTACACACCCATCAAAAGTGCATTCATTTATCCCGGGAAATCGTGACTAAAGAAAGAGAGGAAGAAAGAAAGAGGAAAGGAAGGAAAGAGGAAGATAGATGTGTTTTTAAAGATAGCATCCGCACAAATTGCTCAGCGCTTGCCCCTGAAGACTGACAAAAAATCCTGTTAAATCGTTGTATTAATAATATAAATAGCTTAACAAGACCAACGCGATGGGTTCTCCTTTACCTGCCCTGGCTCTCCCTTTCTCCCCCCTTTTGGCTTCCCCCTCGCCGCGACCGCAGTGCTGCATTTTCCTCTCGCCGGTACCTCGACCGCTACGCCCCAGCCCCGTCTGAACCACTGCCTCCCCCTGATAAAAAAAAAAAAAATAATCAGCGCTTGCAAGCGTCGACTGAGTCACTCCCGAGTCAGGATTAAGGGGCACTAACTAGGCAGCAGAAAATCGCAGCCTCCTGGGAGCGTCCATCAAAACAAGCAGTGAAATAAAAGAGCTTCTCTCTCTGCTTCCCTTCCCCAGAAAAGTCCTTCAGGTTGGCAGCCCGACACACACGCACACGCACACAACTTCGTACGGCTCCCTCCACAAGAGAGCACTGGCTTGTCCGGGTTTGTTTAGGGGAGGTTTTTGGGGAGAAGGGGAGGGTTGCTCCCCTGCCCTTCAGAGCCACATGTCATTCTAGCAGCTGAAACAATAAATCATGTGGGACCAAGTAAGATTGACTGGAAACGGACGGCAGATTCCCCGGCCTGGAGAAGACGGCCATCGTCAGAGCAGAGGGACCCCGCCTTCCGCGGCCCCGGACCCCGGGCCCCAGCGCGGGGGTGGGGAAGCGCCGGGGGGAAGGAGGGGGAGGCCGCGCACCCCCTGGACGCTTCCCCGCGGGACCTCCGCCTGCCCGTAACAAACTTACAGGATCCGGAAAGGATTTCCCCAGCCGAGAGGGCAGCCTCTGCCCGGCCCCGTCCGCCGCCGCCGCCGCGCTCCCGCTGCCGCCGACCGCGCCCGGCTCCGCGCCCGGCGGGGCGCCCCGCTGCGCGCGCCGCTCCGCGCCCGCGGCTGCGCCCGCCCGGCGGCGGCGGCGGCTGGGCGCCCGGCGGGTCCGGGCTCGGCATTAGCCGATCCCATTGACAGTTTGCAGCCAGCAGCTGCAGTCATTAAAAGCCATTTACACCCTGGCCTCCTCACACAAAGCTGGAGCGCCAACAATTATCTGCTTGCACATTTCAGGACATGAGAGTGTGTCCCTAACAGGCTTAGGGGAGCGCTGAATCCCCGGCCGGGCTGGGCAGGCGCAGGTTCTGCTCCCCGAGGTCTGGCTAGCGACCACCGCGCCTCGGTGGCCCGCGTCTTCCAGCCGCGGGGGCCGGCGGAAACGTTTGAGGATGCTGGCTCCATCCTCCTAAGGGCCTCTGGCTAGCAGGGCTCCCGTGCTGGACCTTCGCGGCACAGAGAGGAGACTGGGCTTCAGGAGGACCTTGGTATTAGCTGATGGGCAGGGTTGTGGGTTTGTTTGGTTATAAACACACACGCACACAGAATACATGCATTAAAATAACCTACGGAAGGATATTGTGGAAGAAAAAAAAAAAAAAGGGGGGGGGGGGGTACATGTTTCATATGTCTGGTGGGGAGAAAGGTAAAAAAAAAAAAAAGGGGGGGGGGGGG